AGAGAGAGAGAGAGAGAGAGAGAGAGAGAGAGAGAGAGAGTGCAAAGAGTTAAACCGTTGCCGAACTTTAACGAGTCTAACTCATAACGGAGATTTCTAATAAGATTTCTAATAATAATCATTTAACTTGGAATAAAATTCTGCCATTTTCTCCACAATATTTAAGTATGTGGTGCGGCAAGGGGTTAATTTTCTTTTAGCGATCAATTTCCACGAATAATATTCCCTTATAGGGATGGTTTTTTTTCTGGAACCAGCAAAATCGTCGACCAACGTTTCAATGTCCAATGTTCCTTACCCTTCGATCTGAAGAAGATCGCGGCACCGTTGTCGGTGCCAAGAATGACGATCTTATTCTTTTTCAGCCCAACTTCCACCACCGATCCGTTAGCGTTCCCGGCTCTCAGGCTGGTGGCTCTGATGGCGAAGACTCTGTTCGAGCCCAAGTAGGTGAAATAGAGGATTTGGCTGCCGCAGCTTCTCCTGATCAGCGCCAAGTAGAGCGCGTCCTTCTTCTCCGCGCCGGAAGTCACTGCTTTGGGAAGAACCACGCGGTAACCGCTGTCGGCGGTCAGGTTGTAGACGATGATGGCCCTGGTACCAGCGTCGGACACGTAGACGTACACCTGGCCGTCTGACGCGTAGTCTACGGCCATGTATTGCAGACGCGACGAGATGTCTGCGAGGGGACTCAGGTCTATCACTTTCACCACCTAAAAGCGCAGTTTCGGATCAGCTTTACCTCGGAGATGTCACTTTGCGGGAGGCGAAAGAGACTTGTCGGGCCAGTTAAATTATTAATATACGATTAATATACAATATTATTATTATTATTATTATTATACGCACTTGGTCGATAATAATTATTATAAATAATAATCGGAAGCTTTACGAATGCAGGAAATGGAGTGCATCACTGCCGGAAGGTTGATTAGAAGTTTCGATGAGATCAAGAAAAATTGAAACCTGGTTATCGAATCGCATATGCCATTTGTGCACATTTTTGTTTTCATTCGCGGCAGCGATTTCTATTACGGCGCAATAATTCTTAGTTGTTTAATCACGCAGCTTTCACTTTGAACTGTAATTTAGTTCAGGGGTGGCCAAACTTTTGATCGCAACGGGCGATTTGTTTCTTTTTTCTTTTTTTAATTATAGGCGGCGGTCTACCAACATTATGAGTGATCATAAGAAAGCTAATAATTTGAAGCCGAAAATAAGTTTAAATTTAAGATAAACATAGGTAATATCAGACAGGCGGGCGACTAGGAATAGATACAGCGACCAAGTCGATCGCGGTCGGCGCTTTGGCCACCCCTGGTTAATTGCCATCCTGCGATAAATATTCATATTTGACAGCTTAAGTCTTATGGCAATCGTTTTAATGCAATTCCATAAGTGCCTGTCACCGATAAGGCGCTCAACACGTTGATCTGCGCATTTTTAAACATTTACGCCTTACAAAAGTCTCCGGGAGATTGCGAAACAAAAGGTTAATGGTACTTAAATACGGTCTCGGTCTCGAACTTTCTATTTACAACTATTTTGTCTGGACGTCTGAGAGCCTAAAAATGTCGTAACAGGAAGTAAAAGAATTTAGTAAAAAGAAAAAGACAACGGCTGGATATTCCACCCTGAGGAGCGCGTTAAAATGCAACTTCGATCTTCGAAGTCCGTGTACAGTACCGTGAATGATAGAATTATAGTAGAACTTCGATTGTCCGAGCACAAAATTGCTAGTTAAATTCTTTTTATCTCCGATTACATAATTATTAACACTATGCCGTCGCTGGCGCCATGCAAAAACTATCTGTTGTATGCCGGTGGTACTATTTTGGTGTCATTTTAAAAAACTGAAATAACATTTGAACTATATTT